TTTGATTTATTTTACTTAGTAAGTTGTGAATAACAGATAGTAAAACAAATTGTTCTCCTCCCTAGACAGTCAAAGGAATTTTGCTAGTTGGAAGTACTGTTGATTTCTTCTTTTGTGGAAGAAGCCAGTTTTTTTTTTATCTATTAAGCAGATTCATTTCAGTATTCCCCATTATGTATATAGGTGTCTGATTTTTATGTTCTCTATTCAGCCAGTTGGAACATCTTATTTGTTCCCTAATTAATTAAGGAATTAATTAAAGTCATAGACATATGTTGATTTTGTATTTGTATGAGGGACACAGTGTTATCTTCTTATTTTATTAATAGTTATCCTTTAATGGCTTGAATTTAGCTTAACTGTGCTTGAATTACAGCTGTACCACTTAACTCACATTGTGATTTGGGCCAGGAAATTGTAATTTTTAAGCTGTTTACCACTATAAAAGGGTTATAGTGCTATTTTCTTTCCATGGTTATTGTGAGGATTAAAAACAATGTTACAAGTTACACACTTCTCCTAGTACCTCATATTATAAGAACTCTAGGATTTATATTGCTTTGCTTACTTTTTACTTAGAAGGCCATGGGCAACTAATTTTACCATCTTGAAACTTTGTTTCTTAATCTGTTAAAAAAATGAGGTAGACATTGCCTTTGCACTGCCCAGGCAGAATACCTTCCCACTCCCCCCCCTTTTTTTTTTTGTAGAGACAGAGTCTCACTTTTTCGCCCTTGGTAGAGTGCAGCGGAGTTGCTCCAGCAACCTCCAACTCCTGGGCTTCGGCGATTCTTCTGTCTCAGCCTCCCAAGTAGCTGGGACTACAGGCGCCTGCCACAACGCCCGGCTATGATACTTTCCCCTTTTAATAAACCTGACCTGAACATCTCCTCTGTGGCCTCATCTCTTGGTGCCACCATTCACACCTTTCTATAAGTTTTACTAGCAATGATTGGAAAGAATGGATTGAATTAATAGACCGAAGTAATAGACAATAGTTGCTTTTGCAAGGGATGCCATTTTAAATTTAATATGCAGAGACCTTGCTGCTTTGAGAAAGGAAAATATATTGATTTTGTAACCTGAAACACTGCCATATTCCTTGATCACTGATTTTTTTTTCTTTTCTTTCTTTTTTTTTTTTTTTTTTTGAGACAGAATCTCATGTCTCCCTTGGTAGAGTGCTATGACATCACAGCTCACAGCAACCTCAAACTTTTGTGCTTAAGCAATTCTCTTGCCTCAGCCTCCCAAGTAGCTGGAACTATAGGTACCTGTCACAATGCCCAGCTATTTTTTGTTGCAGTTGTCATTGCTGTTTAGCTGGCCCGGGCTGAGTTTGAACCTGCCAGCCTCAGTGTGTGTGGCTGGTGCTGTAACCACTGTGCTACAGGTGCTGAGCCACCTTGATCACTTTTAAGAGCTTTGTAGTTGAGTCCCTGGGGTTTTCCAGGTATAAGATCATGTCATCTGTGAAGAGGGAGAGTTTGACCTCCTCTGCCCCCATTTGGCTTTCTTTGATCTCCTCTTGCCTGATTGTGATGGCTAGAACTTCCAACACTATGTCAAATAGCTGTGGAGACAGTGGGCATCCTTGTCTGGTTCCAGATTTGAGTGGGAATGCTTTGAGTTTTACTCCATTCAGTATGATATTGGCTGTGGGTTTGTTGTAGATAGCTTCTATCAGCTTGAGGAATGTTTCTTCTAAGCCTATTTTCTTGAGTGTTTTTATGAAATGTTTTCATGAAAGGATGCTGGATATTGTCAAAAGGCTTTTCTGCATGAATTGAAAGAAACATATGGTCTTTGTTTTTGATTCTATTTATGTGGTGTATTATATTGAGAAAGGAAAGTGTAGAGTTTGATCTGGTGAGCCATTTCTTAGAACAGCAGCCTGATAATGCGATGCAGTAAGCAGTAATGGAGAAGACCTTGCTCTGCCTGGCTTTATACATGTACTGGGAAGAAGCATTAGGGCTGGAAATGGGGCTCAACAAAGCAAGAGCATTGTTATTATCTTTATGCTTTAAAACAGTTGGAGGGTAGATTTGGATAGATAGAAAGCTAAAACTGCCTTAAATATAATAATTAATGTGAGTAGCTGCAAAGGACCTTGCTAGACTTGGTATGCTCTTTAGGGAGTGGGAATCAGAAAGGGCCAGATTTTATTTAACCTAGGAATAACTTTTGGGAGTTTCAAGGGTGAGTTGGGAGGTAAGGGTGATTGAAGGAGAGGGAGAATGTAGAAAGATGTCTCAAGGTTGTGTTATTTAAGTTGACTTTTTCCTCTCATCTTCAGCATTTACGTATGTTTTACTGAAGGGGTGGCAGGTGACAGGGGGTGAGAGTGAAGTAGAATTGCTGAAATGGTTGAGTTAGAAGAGGGGATCTTCAGAGGCTGAGAGAATTTAAGTCTCCCAGAAATTAGCACTGGTCCTCCTGTGTGTTGTGTAATTGGAGCAAGTTGGGGGATGGTTCAAGCTGAAGACATTCCCAGCTACTGTTAAATTAGGAAATGAAAATAAACCTCAGTGGGAAGTCTGCTGCTATGTAAACCATAAGGAGTTTATACATAAATACATACCTACATTTATAACTGAGCAACATGCATTTTGATGTAAGGAAATTAACTACTACTATAAACAAAAGCAACCATCTGCCTGGTACAAATATGTTTTGCTGTTTTATTCAAAATAAAATGGTTCTTATAATTTGGCATCAGGATCCAGGAAGCGAGGAGAGTATACTTGCTGGCTTTCTTTAGGAAGGTCTTTGGGTTCCTCTAGCCAAAGGAACTTGAGAACCCTATATGTTACAGATTGTGGGGAAACAAACCACTCCTTACCCATTCCTTCTTGGGTTGGGATCTAGGCTCAGATTTTGCCCTTGCTGTTCATATTCTAGCTGTGGCTACCAGGGAGAACCAGAAGCTCCAAGGACCAGGCCAGTGTTAACATTTCAATCTCATCTCTTCTTGGAGCCTGAGGGGTGGCACACATACTGGGTTCTCCCTTTACTCCTCAGGTATTCCTAGTCTAAGCACTGCAGCCAGCATAGTTGTCCCTGGCTTCCTGAGTTGCCTGTGAATCAGTCCAGTCAATACTGGAGTGTTTTCAGTTTCCTGGGGCCATTATAACCTCTTTATACCATGGACCATGTAACTAGCCCAGTGCACTCTTCCCAAACTCTGCTTTCTCTTTTTTTCTTCCATTTGCCACGTTCACAGGCTGAAAGACAGAGTTGGGATTCTCTTCTGAGAAGCTGGCAACGAATGGAAGATATGATATGTGCATTCCAGGGGAAAACAAATTGTGATGCTTCTGAACCCATGGCAGTTAACAAGGCAGTTTCTAGCTACTGAATATATTTTCTGAAATCAAGATTGTCAAAGCTTTGGGTAAGTCTGGTTTCCATGTTTGAGGTTTTTATCTTGCTTTATGTCTGAACACAGAGCTTTCAAAATTGATATAGTTGTTCCTGTTTGTGTTGTTGAAATGTTCTTTGCTTGCTCTATAACCTTTTCTTTAATTAAATAAACATTTTTTTTTAAAGAGGTAAGTTTCCTGTTGATAGAAAGTAGTTGGTATATTTCTATCGAAGAACAAAACCCAGCATTTCTGTTTGGCACTTGCTCTTTGATTCATTTTGAATCTTTATATTAAAAATTAGGCACCATTTTGTTCAGAGTCTAGACTCTTAAATGGAATATGTTGTAGAGTTTAGTCCTTACATTTTCTGCGGCATTCAGTAACTTACTTTTGTTTGACTCTGGTAGGTTATGTGGCACCATTAGCTGGCATCCTCCTTTTGTAGCAGTGAGGACTTGAGGGGGCCGGATAACTCAGACAGCTGATTTTGGCCATGTCCTTTCCCGTCTCTAAACATCTGCCCAGTGCACATGCGAAATCATTGCTGTCTATTGCCTTTAGCCCTAATTTGGCTAGAACTAAGTTCATTCTGAATCCCATATTCATTTTCCTGCCAGAGTATATCTGTTATCATCTACTTGATTATCCAGACTTGAACCTTCGTAGACAGTTTGAACCCCATCCACCCCAAACCTGTTTTCTATTGTTTCTTCTTTTGTAATGCTTTAGATTTTTTTCTTTTGACTCTGTCTCAATAACAACAAAAAAGCAAGGAAATACGAATAAAAAAATAAAAAATAAGCAAGGAAATAAAAAAATAGCTTCTATTATTGTGTGTGTGTGATAAAATAAAGAAAGTATCTGGTCTTTGTCCTCGGTTCCTGACAATGAGCTTCAAAAACCGTTTTAGTTTCCTGAGTAATAGAAGTATTCTTTTGTTCATAACAAAAAGTATTAGTCAGGAGTAATATTTCTATTACTTTGACCACACCTGCGTGTATGTAATATGGTGACTTTGGTGTACTGTTAGTTTAGAGGGAGAAGTTGTCCATGTCTGATAGAGTAAGATTAGAGGGTTGGGATTTTAGCTCTGCCCGTCTCTGGGCAAGGAAGAGGAACTTGATAGTGAGCTCAGTCCCAGGGCTTGTGAATTAATCATGCGTAGGTTAGTGAAACCTCATCTAAAGCCCCAGAACAGCGATGAACACAGTGATGGGCGGTGAGAGTGATACCTGGAGTTTTTGAGGAGAGAACAAGGAAGGTTGGCGTCCCTGTACCTCTTCCCTAGACCTTGCCCTGTATATCTTTTCCATTTGGCTTTACCTGAGTTGTATTCTTTATAACAAACTGGTTAAGTTTAGTGCTTCTAGTGATTTCTGTGAGTTGTAGAGAATTACTGAGTCTGAAGGGAGGTTTTTGGAACCTTTGAATTTGTAGCCAAGTCAGACAGTAGTGCAGCTAGCCCAGGGACTTCTGAAGTAAGGGCAGTCTTGTTGGAGGCCTTGCTAAATTTATAAGACGTAGGATCCAATGCTAACTCTAGGTGGTGTCAGAACTGAATTGGCTTGAAGGACACTGAATTGGTGTCAGAATGCTTTCCCTTTGTCTGGCATTATGGTGTGTGTCCTTCGTGCTTTATTTCCTGTTATGTTCACCAAGGGGGTTAAGGCTTCCTTTTCTCATTCTTGTTTTATCCATACAGAAAGTGAAGTCATAACTGTCCAGGATTATCGTGCAAGGAAGTGACGAACTCAGTTTTTCTGATTTTAAAGCCCTTTACTTAACCCTTTATGTTGAGCTGACAGCCTTCCTTTCTCTGGATGTTACTACCCTCCTGTAATTTGGCAGCTGTGGACTGAGAACTCCTTTTTCTGAGTTAAACTTTTATCACATTTTTGGGTTTAGGAACTTTCAGTTACTCTATTAGTGCAGAATAAAACCCATATTCCTTAGAGGCAGCCTTTCAAGGCCCACAAGAGTCCAGAAAGCTCAAATTAATACTGCTGTCCCAGTCTTTATATAGAATAAAGAACAAACTCCTATTCTGTTTCTTGGAGGTGTCACTCAATCTGTATCACTAGTGAATTGCGTTGGAGAGGTAACTATGTCTTTTAGTTAACATGTAAAATATAATTGGAAAGTCAGAATTTATGAAAAGAATGTCATTATAAAAATAGCTCATGCTGACTAAGTGAGTAGTACAGGTAATTAAATGCTCTGGAGTTCAAAGGAAGAACAGCTTGATGGAACCAGTTGTGTTTTGAACCTGGCCTTGAAGAGGTGTTAGATTTTGAGAATTGTGAGGGGGAGAGGACACTTCCACTTAGGAATACCGTGAGTAAAAAGGAAAGGAGGCAGTTGGTGGGCGTCCTTTGAAAGGTGGTGTTGATGGCAGTGAATACTACAGTTTATCTGGAGGGAACCTTTTCTGAAGCCAGGGTCTCCTCCTTGTCCCCAAACAAATCTTGAAAGCTTCTGCATATGGTTTTAGCTAATTGAACTCGTGCCAAATCTTTGTTCTTTGAAGCTAGCGCTGTTTGGAATGAACCTAAAGCTGTTTTAGGGCCAATCTAGGTGTAAGGCTGGATGACCATGTTGGGTAAACCAATTTTACTAAAAAATTAGATGTGGTGACAATTAAGAATTACCTATGTTACCAGAGCTGACCAAAGGAAAGTTTAAACTATAAAACTCTAAAAATATTTTTGGTAGTAGAATTTGGGAATAAACATATTTAAAGTAACCTGAATATTCAAAGTCTGAAGTAGCATTATCTAGGTTGGAGACGTTTTGGGAAATAGATATTTTTAAAAAGTCTTTTTTGTACATAAACTCTAATTATTATATCTAATCTTTTGGTATCCTATAGGGTTAGAATCTGTCCTGACTTCTCAAAGCATAACTATTTGTTGGTCATCTGGGCCTCTTTTTAAAAAATTAACAAACAGGAAACTTTAATTGATTTTTGTATTGAAAATCAATTCAGATGTTATATAAGTAACATTCATACATGTTGGAAAATAAATATAAAAAGAACAGATGAAAATCACATTACTATGAGATAATTGATAACCTTTATTTTTATTGCACTGTTTGTGTTTACATAGCTACTTATATTATTTTGTAGCCTATTTCTTCACTTAATAATATATTGGGATTTTCCCATGTCATGTGATTTTTTTTTTGAAAATATGTCTTCTATTATTATATAAACATACATACATGTAGATTTGTTATTTTTATTTTATTCCTTTAAATAAAAAGAGTAATTTGCTTACTATTTTCTAAGTTGCTTTTTTAATGTCTGTATCATGGCTAGTTTTCTAAATAAGAGCTTATAGGTGTATGATTTGCCTTCTGTATCCATGATTTATTCATCTATAGATTGAACCAACTGAGAATGGAAAATTTTTTTTTTTTTTTTTGAAACAGAGTCTCATTATGTTACTCTCCATAGAATGCCATGGCGTCACAGCTCAGCTCATAGCAGTCTCAAACTCTTGGGCTTAAGCGATTCTCTTGCCTCTGCCTCCCAAGTAGCTGGGACTGCAAGCACCCCCCATAACACATGGCTATTTTTTTGTTGTTGTTGTCATTGTTTAGCCCCGGGCTGAGTTCAGGCCCCGGGCTGAGTTCGAACCTGCCAACCCTAGTATATGTGACTTGCTCTCTAACCACTGAGGTATGGGTGCTGAGCATGTTTTTGTTTTTGTTGTTGTTTTGTTTAGCAGGCCCTGGCTGGTTTCAAACCTGCCAGCCCCAGTGCCTGGGGCTTGTGCTCTAACCACTGATCTGTGAGCGCCCAGCTAAGAATGGAAAATATTTGGGAAAAAATTGCTTCTGTGCTGAACATGCACAGAACTTATTCTTGTCATTCTCCCCTAAACAATACAGCATAACAACTATTTACATAGTGTTATGTATAATAAGTAATTTGGACATTCATTTACAGTATTTGGGAGGACATGTATAGGTTATGTGTAAGTGTGATGTCATTTTACATAAGGGACTCATGCATTTGTGAATTTCAGTATCCTCTAGTGGTCCTGGAACTAGTATCCCATGGATACTAAGGGATGGCGGTACTTTTTTTTTACTGGTTGCATAGTATTCCATTATATGGGAGTATCATAATTTAGCCATTTCTCTGTTGGTGGATATTAATCTGTTTGTAATTTTCTCATTCAAATAGTGCTTTAGTGAGCATTTTTGTACATATACTATTCTTACTTTTATGAATACTTTCATAGGATAGAAGATTAGAATGAAATTATTGGGTAAAAATGTATATGCATTTTAAAATTTGCCAGCTGTGCCAAATTGCCTTTTAAAAGTGCTTTGCCAGTTTTTTCTGTCATTAATAGTATGTTTCAGAATCCCTGTTTTTCTGTTCTCTCACTTTGCTAGACGTTATCGTTGTCAAATACGAAAAAGCAGTGGTAGGAATCATGATATCACATTGCCTTAATTTGGTTTCTTTGTCTTATTTTTTTGAGGTATCTTTTTAAATGAGACTGTTTGATTCTTGGCCCATTTTCCTGATGTAGTTCTTTAAGGCTTTCATATTTTACATGTAACTCTTTGATTCATCTGAAATTTATTTAGATTTTTACGGAATGAAAACTGCTTGATTCTGGAAGAGATTCAAGGGCTAGTGGGTCTTGAAATTGTGTGTCTGAAAAAATTTAGAGGATAAAAATAAATTTTGCTGCCCTTGGAAAGAAGTTTGTTTCAAATTTATTTAAAACCATAGTTTATGATTACCCAACTCTGTAAAGTATTTTGGGGTAAGAAAATCTTGCCAACAAAAAGACCCCTTTTGACCAATATAGAAGAGAGAAAAAGCTCCATTTTTATTGAGTATGCGTGTCAGATATATGCATGTAGATAGTTTTTAAGAGAACTTAAAAAATTTGAGCAGAATTTCACTTATTTTATGTAGTAGAACAGAAAAAAAAACTTTTCTTAGATTCTTGAGAGATAAGAATAACTCTGTGATAGTTTCCTGTATATATGATGAGATTCCCAA